GCTAGACTCCAGGGAATAGAGCCTTGTATTCACGCAACACATCTAAAGAAAGCTCCAAATCCTGATTAGATCTGCACACCATCTGGTGACCTGAAAGTAAGGATTTCCTGGAATTGAAGCAGATGACATCTGACGAGACCACTTTTCCAAGATGTGTGGACCGTATCTGTATACCTTTTTCTCACTGTTGCTTCTTCTCTTTCATGGAAAGACAAGGCTCTTGTCTTCATCTCTCAAACACTTGCAAAAAGGGGGGAACTCATCTTTTGATTATAGCCTTTTGGAAACACCCTCATAATGATCCTGGAACAAATTAAATTTTCACTTGCTGCTTCTGAAGGGTTGAAAGGTTCAGCATTCACTAGAGTTTTCTTTCATCTGAACTATTAACTAACTTTGGATTCTTACCCAATTCATGGTCTCTGAATGTGTGACCTGAGAGGCTATTTTACCAATAACACATTTGGTTCCAAAGAGTTCTTTTGACAGAGCCATACTGTTTGAAACCATCTTGGAGGCTTTACCATTTGCAGAAAGTTCATTAGGTATTGCTTCATGTTTGTATCTGGACTGTATCTTCCCAAATGCAACCAGTGAATTCTTTCAGTGCACTTTTGCAGGACCCATGATTCTGCTTTCATGACTGCTATAAGCTCAGACTTCCAGGAGTCATATGTAACTTCAGGCATACAGTCATAGAACTTTTCTCCCCTAAGTCAAAGTAAGGGCCAAGAAATATGTAAGTTGCCTACTTTGAGATCCAGAGTCCTGGTTTAGTTCCATCACATAACTTGGAATCATTATGTTACTTCTGTTTTGTATAATTTAAGTTTTGTGTTTTATTGACTGCTGAACTTTTTAGAAACAGTGATGATCAGCAAGGTGATGCTGGATCAGATTTGAGATGATCTCCAACACTTCCGACCTTGAGAAAATGCAGGCGTTAGATGGAAAATGCCTGAGAGTTTCTCCTTCATAACCTTTCTTTTTACTCAAATACAGCTTTAAGTGTTTTCCGACTGCTTTGTACTCTCTCTTCTCCATGGGACATGACAACTAGTGAAGGTCCTTCCTGGCACTGAGGGACAAAACCACTAAATATAAGGAGTCTGACTATTGATCAGTGATGCTTTCAAAGAAAAATCTTTTTTTTTAAACTTTTTTATTTATTTGACAGACAGAGATCACAGGTAGGCAGAGAGGCAAACAGAGAGAGAGGGGGAAGCAGGCTTCCCGCCGAGCAGAGAGCCTGATGCGGGGCTCGATCCCAGGACCCTGGGATCATGACCTGAGCCAAAGGCAGAGGCTTTAACCCACTGAGCGACCCAGGTGCCCCTCAAAGAAAAATCTTAATCAAAAAGGGGAAATGTGAAAATTAATAATGGGAAACCTCACTACAATGGAGTCAAAAGATTCAGCAGGGAGAGCTGTCGTCCTACCACTCATTCTCAATTGCAGACCCAACAGGAAGAGACGGATCATGCACACGATGCTGCTTTCCTACCCTGCAGGAGGAAGAGAGACTTACTTCCTCCCTCCCCCTATTTTCCCCTCCCCCAACAGCCTCACCCCTGAGAGACTCTCAGCTTAGCCAGTGAGAAGCCCCTCTACTTCCAACTCCCAGTTCACTCCAATGGACTTTTTGTTTGTAACAGCCTTCCCAACCTCCCCTTTTCCTCCCCAAAGCAGTGCTTCTCTCCTGTGTCCTGTGGACTTACCTATGGTTTTGCTGTAGTTTGCTTGTCCCAGAATGCAGTTCTCTGCCATTCCCAAATAAATCCGTCTTTTGCTGGTAAACTAACTGGCAGTTTGGCTTTTAAGGTCCAGGTGGAGAAGAGCTAGTATGGCTTTTTGTCCAGTAAGATCACCTGGAGGGATTAAGAGATCTCAGAAAAGGCCAGAGACTTTGCACCTAATGTACGATAATTAAGAACAAGAGTCACAGGAAATCACCTGAAAGAAGGGTAGCCCTTTCTAGGTAAAGAGACCTAGAGGAGAGAGATACCCAGCAGGATGCCTTCTCAAGAGCCCACAGAGAAAAACAAGAATCGGCAGTAATCTTGGGTCAGGCCTCCACAGGGATGCCCGCACTGACTACATGCGGGACCTTGAGGGCTCAGGAGTCCTCCAACCAAATAAGAACATCGCTACCCCAATGTGCACTTTGCTTTCTGAGCCTCTGGTGGCCAGTGCCAGAAGACAGAGAAAGGACCACACCCATCCCCACTGAGGGCTTCCTGGAAGAAACAGGTCTGTCTGAGGAAAGAAGGGAAAAACTATCATCAGCAGGTATGGAGTTTTGATCTCACTGACCTGAACATTGCGATTGTAAACCACATCTCTGGTTGGGATTTAAAGTAACTGTAGGGGGCACCTGGGTGGCTCAGTGGGTTAAGCCTCTGCCTTCTGCTCAGGTCATGATCTCAGGGTCCTGGCATTGAGCCCAACATTAGGCTCTCTGCTCAGCAGGGAGCCTGCTTCCGCCTTTTTCTCTGCCTACTTGTGATTTCTCTCTCTGTCAAATAAATAAATAAAATCTTTTAAAAAAATAAAGTAACTGTAGGATATCTGTGACTTGTGAGGGGACAGAAATATCACTGGTTTGGTAGTTTTCAACCATGATTAGGGGAAGATTATTCCCCACGGAACAGAGTTTAGAAAAGCAGTAGAAAAGGAAAAAAATAAGTTGCATTCTGATCACAATCCACACATCATGTTTGTGCAGCATGCCAGCTACATTTGCTTGGCCCAGCTGGCGTAACTCTTGTAACAACCATCCTCAGATCTCATCGCGTTTGAATGACAGTGATTGAGATGATTGCTTTCACTTTCAGAAAATCCCCAAAGAGGAAAATGCCATCCATGTGATTTGGAGAAAAGGAACTTGGTCAGATACTGAGACCAGGACCTGGTCTAGTAGCAGAGGTAAGAGCTTTTACAATTCACAGCTGTTTGTACCTTTGTCTTTCTTTGCTAACTTCGACTGTCCCAAAGTCACACTAAGGGAATAAAGAACACACAGTTTTGTTAGGCAGAGGAGAAATTAAGATTTACCCAGTTTCTAAAGGAAACCAGTTATCTTTCAGCTTATCCTGTGTCATTACAGAAGCTATGACAATGAGAACCAACAAGGTATGGAATTCCCAAGGAAAAGGGATAGAACCTGAAGATAGCACAGGACGTGGGACTCACGGTAATGGTCGCCCAGTGGACGAGGTAAGAGCAAAGCAGAAGATGATAGCTGTCCTTGGCAACAACACATCAGTGGCGGGGTGGGAGTGGAAGAAGGAGAAGAAAAATCTCAAGGAGGAGTAATTAAACCAAGTGTTCTACTGGCTGCCTAGTCATCTCTCATTAAAGACTCCCATGTACTTGCAGGGCATAGTGAGGCAGCATAAGTTTTGAGGGTGCTTGTAACCTGTAGTCTCCATCATCCCCAACTCTGATTACCTCTACTCAAGATAGAGTGAAATAGCACTGCCCTGTAACCTAAACCCCCTGAAACTGGCAGGAAGATCAGCTCCATGGCAGTAGCAAAAAGACAAATTTTTTACATAGTCAAGTTATTATAACACATTCTGATCAGGATGGCTTTAAATTATACATGTACATTTCTTGCCAAAAGTGTTATTTAATAAGGCCTAGAGTAAAATTGAAAGTAAAAGCATAGTGAGTTTTTTCAAGTTTTTATCTTATGTTCCTTACTGAAGAGATACATTTAGTAGCTGTTTCTCAGGTGACTAAACTTTGCTGTCTTGCTTAGTTTTTTATGTATTTAATTTGTCTGTAAACCTGGATTCTGTGCAAAGCTCCATAACAGCTTTAAAACATAGGCTTTATTAGGGATGTGAAAGCTGAGAATGTAGTAATATTTTCTCCTTATTAACTCATCACATGATACCAAGGGGGCATGGGTGGGGAAATGGGAACTTAGAGTACTCAGATATTCCAATTGGGAAGAGACAAGGCCAAGCATGCCTTTTCATGACCCTAAACATAAATGAAGTTCCACATAAAACTTGAGTCCTTTATCCTTGAATCCTTCGGTTTGAGAGTTGAATCATATAATATTTTTTTAAAGGTTTTATTTATTTATTTATTTGTCAGAAAGAGAGAGAGAGAAAGCACACAAGCAGGCAGAGAGGCAAGCAGAAGGCGGAGAGAGAGGCACCCTGCCGAGCAAGGAGCCCGATACCGGACTCCATCCCAGGACCCCAGAATCGTGACCTGAGCTGAAGGCAGTGGCTTAACCCACGGAGCCACCCAGGTGTCCCTAATATTTTTTTTTTTTAAGTCCTATTTATCTGGGTTGTTATCTGGTTGTTAAAGTCCTGATTTGGGTTGTTTTCCTGCTTTCCTTTTCACTGGTTGGTGGGTTTTGGGAGGCAGGGTTTTTGTTTGGTTTTTGGTTTTTTATTCTTCATTTCAGAAGATATCCTTTGTAAGGGTTGATAAATGAGTGCTACATGTCTCCACTTTTAACTGCTGGTGTCCACTGGTAAGAGGGAGCCATGGGTGATTCTTCAGTTGACTCAAATTTCAGAAAATCGGCCTAAGTCATCTGCAGCATAGTTCATTACTATTCATTGAGGATATGAACTTGGCGCCACACAACACAGAGCGTAGATAAACGACTTGAGTGATGCAGAATGCTTGGGGTCAAAAAAGTGTCAGAAGTTTGATGAAGCGAAAGAATATGGGCAATCTCAAACTTAGGTATGTCCCTTTTTTGCCCTGCAGTATAACTTGTGCCACTCTCTGAACATCATTTTCTTCATCTGTAGAATTTTGAACATAATACCTACTATGTCAGTTAAATGAGAGAAAGGAAGTACCTAGCACATAGTAGGCTCTCTGTAAATGTTGGTCTCTTCTCCTTCCCACAGAAGAGGCCGTGTGGGACCCTGTGTTGCAACACAGGATTAGCTCTTCCTATTTTGCAAGAGGAACTGCCTCGGCTGTGTTCCTGTCCCTCAGCCTCGAGCTCACACTGAGTCATGTGTCACTCCTTGGTGAGCATAGCAGCGGACAGCACCTTCCTGTTGAAATCCAAGGAGTGCTGGCAGCTGCCGGACAGGAAAACCAACAGAGATCACACCTCCCAGAAGATGGCTGTTTCAAAGTGAGTTCTGGGTTTCCATGGACTCCTCGAGGAAAATTTCCAGGTAAGATGGTCCAAATGGCCAGAAATCATGTGCCAAAAATGTAAAACTCCACTATTTCAAAATGTAGATTAGGAGCACCCTGGTGGATCTGTCGGTTAAGCATCCGCTCTTGATTTCTGCTCAGATTATGATCTCAGGGTCATAAGATCGAGCCCTGTGTTGGGGCTTCTCACTCAGGGGGAGTCTACTTGAGATTCTCTCTCACCCTCTCCCAATGCCCCACCCCCCAACCTTGTGCTCTCTCTCTCTCTCTGTCTCTCACATAAATAAATAAATCTTTAGGGATGCCTGGGTGCCTGTTGATTGAGCACCTGACTCTTGGTTTCAGCTCAGATCGTGATGTCAGGGTCGTGGGATTGAGCCCCACATTGGGCTCTGTGCTCTGTGGGGAGTCTGCTGGAGATTCTCTCTCTCCTTCCCCCTCTCCCCCTCTCCCTCTCTCCCTGCTCTCTCTCTCTCTCTAGCTCACTCTCGAAAATAAATAAATCTTTTTTAAAAATCTTTTTAAAAATGCAAATTACAGGAAAACGCTTCTCTTCATTTTCCAAAGTAGCAAAGATTTAGAAACTATCAAACGCTGAGAAAGAAGAAGCAAAAACTCACACATGTAGATCACTTGGGGAAACAAATGGAAACACATATAACTGTCTATCTGGGTCCTTAGAAAAGCAAAGCACATAGCTGGCCTGGATGAGGCATACAAGAATTTCATCAGGCAAAATGCCGGTGTGAGGGAAAGTAGAGAGAGAGCAAGAAAGGCTGGGTGCTGTCAGAGCACGTGGCCATCTGACTTCCAGCAGAGGGAAGGAAGGCTGGTATGAGCAGCTACCCTGCCTGGCAGCCTATGGGAAGGTTCAGCAAGGTGATGGGAGGTCCTGACTGTGGCAGCCACCAGAGGGGTCCCATGTCTCCCAGAAACAGGTCCACTCTGCTATCTCTGTGGCAGTGGCTCATGGGCTGGGAGCAGCCCGTGGCCGTGTGGCTGTGCATAGACCTGTGGTCCCCTCTGCCCTCTGTGTTTGGAGGACTGTGGGCACATTTCCATGGCCACCCCAGTTGCTTTTTGGTAAACACATTTGGCAATGTATATTACAAGTTTTTTAAATGATTTTACTTATTTTTTAATCTTATAAGTATATCCCTTGAGATCTATCCTAAGAAGTCTCCTACAATGGGAAAAATAACTTGAGTTACATAACTATTCATAAGAAGTGTTTCTGATAGCAAAAAATTAGAAGCCCGTCGTCACTTTCAGTTAACCATGGCAGCGTCCACCCCATCTGTTCCACTCCCTTACTTGGGCTGCCTGAGCCTGTTTTGAGTTTGTGAGTTCTCTTAATATGATTTAGAAAAGGTAAAATACACTGGTTAGACCTTTAAACTCCTGAACTTCTTTGTGACTCTAGGACCCAAAGGGATATTCTGTGTCTTAGTCTGGGAGGTGGCTTCCAGGCGTATATGAAAATTCCCCGAACAGTGCACTTAGGATTTAAGCCCTCCATGCACTTTTAGTGGATATATTTTAGCCTCAATAAAGAAGGAAAAGGTGAACTCAAAGGATACGCTGCCCGAAGTTAGAGACTGTGCAACTCTGGTGTTCTGATTGTCCTTTGTGATGTAACTCTTGGTCTCAGACATGACTGTTCAGCTGATGTGGGAATCAACCAGGTGACGAGGACAGACGAAGACAGACACAGATTCTCATTATGACAAAGGACCTGGAGAACGTGAATGCCACTTTCTACTGACTCTCCTCTCCCTCTGTCCATGTCCTCACCCTCTTGCCATGATGATTTCCCTCTCTTAGCTGCCACCACTACCTTAGTCCTGTCCCTGCCACTAGTACTGTTGTTCCAAATCCAAACAAATAGTGCAGATCACCAGCATCTCCTCCATTCTTTCGTGGGACCCATAAGTATCCAGCTGTCCTCTGCTTCCTTCACCATTTAAAAAACCTTTTACTTTATTTTGTTAAAGCTTTTACTTAGTTCTTTGTCAGAGAGAGTGACCAGGCCCAAGCAGGGGGAGCAGCAGAGGAAGAGGGAGAAGCAGGCTCCCCGCTGAGCAAGGAGCCCAATTTGGGATTCGATCCCAGGACTTGGGGCAGATGCTTAACTGACTGAGCCACCCAGGCATCCCAAAAACCTTTTACTTTAATCCAGAAAGCACTTGAGTGACATCATTGGATTTTTTTTCCTCCAATAAATATAAGCATGTTATAAACCAAATCTTGCTGTTTAAATTAAAGCTGCAATCTGTCACTTGTTTGACGCATAACATCTGCCCCTCAGAGATGACAAAATTGATTTGAATTCAAATGAGAACAAAATGCCACTCAACCCTGGGATGTGTACTCTGTAGCCCCCATCAGGACAGAGATACAGTTCTGCATGCAGATATCCAGCATTGGTAACTTAGAACCAAACTGTGACTTTGAATAACTAAGTGATAAATCAGGGATTTATATTCAGTTCAGTGTGGTGACAGGTTGCTGACCTATTCTTATGCTATGCATTCAACAAATATGTATTGAGCAAATAGATAGTATTGGCAAATGCCGTGGATTACTGCTCAATATCCAGTCTCCCCTTCTTCCATACTAACAGCACCTTCATTTTATTCTGGGCAGCAGCATGTCTAGGCTCAAGCAATAAATCAATATTGGGGCACATACTTGTGACAGTTTTGTTCTATTTAGCCAGATACTAAATATCCCAATGGCAGAAATGGCCATGGGAGCCAGTTATGGCTAAGAAGATGTAAGGGGAAATCTTCTGGAGCCTTCTAAGAAGGCTTTCCTTCCTGATAAATGAGATGGATGCTGGCACCTTCCTCCCCACCTCTCCACCTGCCTTTTTCCTAATGCAGATGGAATTAGCTCCAGCAGCAACCTCAAGGTCATAAGGCAGCAAGCAAGAGAATGAATGACAGGCACACTGAAGACTGCAGAAGAGAAGGTTAGGTCAGTCCCTGAGATCAGAAAGGTAGGATTAAATGAAGGGTCTCAGAAATATAAGGGGCCTGGCAGTGTTATTTAGGCAATAAAATACAGAACCAATGAAAAATGAATAGTAGGAACCCTGAGGTGCATTGAGAGCCCAGGTAAGGCTAGCATTAAGTTAGAGAAGAACCCTGCTCTCAGTCGCATTTGGTAACAGCATAAAATGAGGTAACTTTTTTCAGAGAGCAATATAGCAGTATCTATCAGCATTTAAAATGCACAGATCAATTAAACTAGCAGTTCTACTACTGGGAAATTATCCTGCAGAAAAGCACAGGTGCACAAAAGATATATGTACAAGATTATGTATTGCAGCATTGTTTGAAATAGCAAAAAACTAGAAGCAACCAAAATATGAAATTGGGAAAATAAAGTACAACCATTCTTACAGTGAAATACTATGCAGCTGTTCAAGAAAGAATAAAATGGTGTACATGTAATGACCTGGAAAGATGCCCAGGAAGTATTCTTAAGGGGGAAAAAAAGAGCAGTGCATATAATACCCCATTTTTATTTTTTAAAAAATCGTTAAATGTAAGTTTAAAATGCCATGTGTGTATATAAGTATACACATAGGAAAAGCCTGAAAGAGAAGGGCCAAACAGATAAAATGGACCCAATTATTACGTTTCCATGTCTTTTCTACCAAGTGCCATTGGTGTGGCAATATGAACTGAAAGCAGACAATAGGAATAACTCAAGGACAAAGTTCAGCATGGGTGACAAGCAGCTAAAAAAATCTGCAGAGTCCGACACGATGCACCTTCCAGACAAGATCTGATAGGGGAAGCATGTAAATGCCAAGGAAGCGTCAGAAAGAGGGAAAAAAGAGAGGAATCAGGAAACTCGAAGTCATTATCAAGGCAAAGAAAAGGCTCAGGAAATGTAACATGAATCTACAGAAGATTGGGGCGCCTGAGTGACTCAGTGGGTTAAGCCTCTGCCTTCGGCTTGGGTCATGATCTCAGGGTCCTGGGATCGAGCCCCGCATTGGGCTCTCTGCTCATCGGGGGGCCTGCTTCCCCCTCTCTCTCTGCCTGCCTCTCTGCCTACTTGTGATCTCTCTCTCTGTGTCTAATAAATAAATAAAATCTTTAAAAAAAAAAAAAAGAAGAAGGTAAGGAAGATATATCTGTGGAGATGTGGAAGACAGGGAGATCATGCTGGGGAGAAGAGAGGCAGCTCTGAGTTTTAGTCCCTGGAGCTGGGACAGATCTGAACAAGGAAAGAGCCCCTGGAGGGAACATGCCTGAGGGTGGCTGGAGGGACAGATGAAATTATGATGGCAAAGCCCCCCTCCATTGTATACCACCGACTCTGCTTCCGAACATGAGGGTAGTTACACTGTGCTCCACTGGCGTCTGTCCCATTTCCCTCAGCTTTCCTACCTGACTTGCTCTCCTTCACTGCAAGCCAGTATAGTATGTTCTTAAAATTTCTTTCCCTGGCCTCTGCCCTTGCACAAGCTTACAGTTTTGTTTGAGGGTTTCTAAGGGACTTTATTGCTAAAAATTTCAGAGGCTAACAAAATAACAAATATTACTGTTCTTTATGGTTAAGTCAATAGAATGAGCCTATTTATGGTGGTGGTGGTACGCTTCCTCTCCCAGATCCCTTAGACCTCGACGATGAACGCCACGGCTAAGTGCAGACCCATCCATCTTTTTATTAACTGGTCAGGTTTCCACACTCCCTTTCATGCTGTCTTTTCTCTAGCTTAAGCTCTGTTGGTTGAGTTTTAACTCTAATGCGAATGAGAAGTATGAGCTTGTAGCTAAACGTCTGACATTTCAGCGCAAGCTCCAGACCTGTCCTTCCCACCTCAGTGCCTTCTCGATGTGCTCAAAACCATCTCCTTAAAAAGACCGCCAAAGCCCAGAAAAGCATGGTGGGTCACCAATGAGAATATAGCAGTTTTAGGGAATAAAAGCAGGGGGCTGGATACAGAAGCCAAGCAGCAGCAGCGAGGAGCATAAGCAGATGCCGTTATGAGATTGTGATGGGACCAGGGCAGCAGTCTCCATGGAGCAGGGACATAAGCCTCCTCCAGCTGGTAAAGTATGAAAGGGGGTGACTTCAAATGATGACTTTTTGAAGGAAGTGACACCAAAAAAGAGGGAAACAAGTATGTCCACCAGAGTTTTTAGTTGTGATATACTTCAACCACCTCTTGGCTGGAAGGAAGGACCGACTCGCAAAAGAGTTTTAAACATGGCAGGGCTCAGACCTCACTGGTGAAGATGTGGTTACAGCCAAGGGATGAGGAGAAGTCTGTTGGATTTCCCAGACCAGAGCTGGCCCCTCATTGCCAGGCAAGCAGGAAAGCATCCCCAGGGACCCAGGCTGGAGAGCAGGTGTGCATTGAAAGCTGGATGCCTCTGCCAGCATGAGGTCTGGAGCACATGGTGTCCTTACTGGAAAAGTCACATCAAGATGGTCACAGGGTCTGGACTGCCATGCAAGGTCACCAAGAGACTGTGTAGTGTGGGCACACAGCTGAGGCAGTGTACCCTGGGATGTCCCTAGACACGCATCCACTGCTTACTGATTGGTAAGCATTCTGAAACCAGGAAGAGGAGCCCCCTTCCTCCTGCAATGGCCTTCCTCTATTGACAAATTTAACATCATGCTTAGTGTAGGGGAAAAAGGCTTAAATAGCCTGTCCAGTATTGCAGAGCAGTTACAGAAGGGTGATTGGGAGCTAAGGCAATAAATTGATAATTGGCATACACATAATAAAATTAACAATATCTCCCCAATACTGTCTAATCCCTGAGCATATCCAAATTTCTGTAATTGTCCCAAAGGTATCTTGTATAGTTTTGGGTCGTCGTTTGGTTTTCGTTTGTTTGTTTGTGTGTGTGTTGTTTGTTTGTTCGTTTAACTAGGATCTAAACAAGTACTATTATGTCCTTTTACTTCTCTCGGGTTAGAGCAGTCCCTCCCAACCTTTTTATTTTAATGACCTGATCTTTATAGGAAATTGAGTCTGTTGTTCTATCGATTGAGTCACATTTTAGATTTGTCTTATTCTTTCTTTCTGGTGTTGTTTAATTTGGTTTCTGTCCTCTGAATTTCTTGTAAGCTGTAAGTTACATCCAAAGGTTTGAGTAGGATCGGGGGAGATATTTCTAATAGGAATACTTCATGAATGAAGGTCTGTTCTGTGGTTTGCCTGCTAAGGGCCTAGAGTGGAAGCCCCCTGTTCACTACTCAGTTTTCTTGGCGTTCACCTTGGATGCCTTGGTGCAGAGTATTGATGCTCATTCTAGATAGGTGCCAGTGTTTAATTTACAACCAGCACTGGATGCCTGGGTGGCTGTCAGGCAAAGAGGCCACATGGACTGCTATGCATAAAGGTGCTCTGAAAATGTCACATGCTAAACAAAAATGAGACACTATTATGTGTTTTGGCTCTTACAAGTAGTGATTTCTTCAACAGTTTAACGACTTAGGGGGAAAAGTTTTTAAACTGCCATCTCATTTAAAATTTGAAAATCTCTGGGGCACCTAGGTGGCTCAGTCATTGAGCATCTGCCTTCAGTTCAGGTCATGATCCAAGGGTCCTGGGATCAGACCCCGCCATCGGGCTCCCAGTCCCTCTCCCATTCCCCTTGCTTGCGTTCCCTCACTCTCTGTGTCTCTCTCTGTCAAATAAATAAATAAAGTCTTTAAAAATAAAATAAAATAAAATTTGAGATCGTCAACTAAGAAACCTAAGAAACCAATTCTAATTTATGTACCTACCATGTTTCCTCACTGCAGGGATATTTTCTACTTGATTACCTTATTCATATTTACATCTCAAGAGCTTTGCCAAATACATCATCTAAACAGAAAAGCAATAAGAAGTCGTGCAGAAGAGTATTGGACTAAAACTTAGGACCTGAGTTCTGGTACAAACCAGCAGGAAAACCACAGGTAAGTTACTTAACCTCTCCCGAAATCAGCTTCCTCATTCCTAGAATGAAGATAATAATTCCCTCATGCTGTTGAAAGTGATGGTAGATTTTAGAAGCAGAACAATCTAAGTTCATAGCCTTTGTCTCCCTCATTCTTGCTATCGGTAAATAAAACTAAAATTCTGAGAGCTATGATTTCTTTTTCTTTTTTCTTTAAAGCAATTCAAGTCTTTATTTTGTATTAGTTTGTCTTTTCTTAAAGATTTTATTTATTTATTTGACAAGGAGAGATATCACAAGTAGGGAGAGAGGCAGGCAGAGAGAAAGGAGGAAGCAGCCTCCCCACTGAGCAAGAGCCCAATGTGGGGCTCGATCTCAGGACCCTGAGATCAGACCTGAGTGAAGGCAGAGGCTTAACCCACTGAGCCACCCAGGTGCCCCTGTATTAATTTGTCTTTATTCATTTTATCATATAATACCAGATGCTGTGTTAAAATTTGAAATCTGGGAAGACTCCTTTTTCCTACCCAGAGTTCATAAATCTGAGCAGTAAAGTAAGTTCATTCACCTAAAGAGAATTTGTTTTAAAACACTAGAAGGTAATACCCATAGGTAGCAATACAATCTTCAGGAAACCAGAGTAGCAGGATTAGAGAATCTGGCTCCTTGTCTCACTCTCCACAAATTTATAGCTTGATTCCTCCACTAAAGAGGAAAGGATAGAATGTATGTAGTCCAACAAGGGAGAAACTATTCCCAAATGGCACTGCTGGGTGAACCCCCATTTTTTCACCTTGAGATGATGTTGGGTTTTCCTTTCTTGTTGGCCTTTGGATGTTTCTCAGATGTATTGCTATTTTGACCTTTCACTTTTTCTCCACAAAGAATAAAAACTTTCTTTGAATATAGTATGAGATGGGGGTATGACCTCCAATATCTAAACTCGCTGGTTCACATGTGATTGAACTTTCAATGAGAATACCTCAGGGGCATTCCTATTTCCTGAGGCCACACAAGTAAAAGAGCTCAAAGAAATCCAGCAGCCCTCAGGTTACAGGACAGCCCGTTCCCCGATATCGGTCGTAAGGCTGAGCTCACAGGTAATTCACATAAGGCATGCCTCTGACTCTGACCTGAAACCTCTTTCAGAATAGATTCCAGGAACATCAGCAAAATCAGAGATCAACACAAAAAGGGTGAGGAGCCCTTCTAACATACCAGAGATCTTTACTGCTTCAGATTAATGGAAAATATTTGTTGTAGTAATCATTTACTGCTGTGTGATGGATTATTCCCAAATTTAGTGGCTTAATAGCAGTATACACATTTATTAAATCAGGTTTCTGTGTGGTCAGTTGTGAGTCTGCTTAGCTGGATGTTTTCAGGCTCGGGGTCTCTCGTGTGCTTACACTCAAGATACCAACCAGGGTTACAGTTGTGCATAGGCTTGACTGGGCCTAGAGGACCCACTTCCCCCTAAAAAAGAGGGAGAGAGAATAAGGGAGAAGCAGCAGTGTCTCTTTTGACCCAGTGTTAGAAGTCATACCTTGTCCCTTCTTCCACTTCAAGTCACTAGAAGCAAATTACTAAATCCAGTGTACATCCCAGGGGAGATGACTGAGCTTCACCTTTTCAAGGAAGGAGTGTCCGTTTGGAGGCTTTTTTTTTTTTTTTTAATTGGAAGGAATGGGGAACCAACATAATGTAGAATTTGCCATCTTCACCATTTTTTTTTCATCTTAACCATTTTTTTTTAATATTTTATTTATTTGACAGAAATCACAACTAGGCAGAGAGGCAGGAGGAAGCAGGCTCCCTGCAGAGCAGAGCCCCCGATGCGGGGCTCGATTCCAGGACCCTGGGATCATGACCTGAGCCGAAGGCAGAGGCCCTAACTCACTGAGCCACCCAGGCGCCCCCATCTTAACCATTTTTAAATGTACAATTCAGTAGTGCTGAGAATATTCACATTGTTGTACAGATCTCCAGAGCCACTTCTTCGTGGAAAACTGAACTCTACAGCCATCAGGCAGCTCCCTGTTTCCCCTTCCTCTCACCCCTTTTAATCACCATTCTGCTTTCTGTTCCCATGAATTTGACACTTTAGATATCTCACACCCTGGAATCACATAGTATTTGTTTTTCTGTTTGTGGCTTATTTCACTTAACACAATGTCCTCCAGGTTCAGCCATGTTTTAGCATGTGACAGGACTTTCTTTCTAAAGCTGAATCATCTTCCATCAAACAGATAGACCTGTTCGTTCCTCTTTTCATCTGTCCATGGACACTTGGGGCGCTTCCACCTCTTGGCTCTTATGAAGAAAGCAGCTGTGAACATGAGTGTGTAAATATTTCTTCAAGACTCTGTTTTCAGTTCTTTTGGATGTGTACATTAGAGGTAGGATTGCTGGATCATTTGCTGGGACATAGTTTTTTGAGCAAACACCATACTGTTTTCCACAGTGGCTGCACCATTTTATAGTTTCACCTAAGCACACCATGTTTCCAATTTCTCCACATCCCTCCCAACACCTGTTATTTTTTTGTTTTATTTTATAATAAACACCCTAACGGATATGAGGGGCTTATAGTTTTGGTTTGCATATCTCTTAATTATTAGTGATGTTGAGCATCTTTTCATTTATTTGTTGACAATTTCTATACATCATCCTTGGAGAAATGTTTTTTGAAGACTGTCCATTTTTTAATCGGGTTCTTGGGTTCTTGTTGTCAAGTTGTGAAGGCATATTTTTTAACCCCCACTTACCATACAGGTTTGTTGTGAAATATAAAACATCCATGTTTACATATCACATTTAATGTCATGTTGTAGGCACCCCAAAAATTTTACTTGTCCTCTCAGGGTTTTTATATAAAATAATATATGTAAAGCTGCTTTAAAAATTATAAAGTGCTACACAAATGTGAATTAATACTAAATATCTATATGCAAAGTATTTTACTAATTTTCTCAGGTTCTCCACATTTAAATGCATGTGTCTTTTCATCTTTAGACTTTGTTCTAGTTTTTAGCTGTGATTCCTCTTTTTTCCATTTTATTGCAAGTTTTATCAAAAAATAGCAGTCAAAATAGAATGAATAAAGGCAGAGAAACAATAGCTAATTTCACTAAAGCCACGTCAGAGGAAGATGTATTTGAAAATAAAATAAAATGGGAAGAAAGCTACAAAGATAACACCGTTGAAAAATCCTAAGAGGACCAGAGCTGCTCTTCCTTCAGAGGATGTGAGTGATGTTGAAAGATTAATAACGTTTGGATCATGTTAATTACAGTGATGTTATAAACTCGGCTATTCTAGTTGCCATAACAACCCGCTATATGTCGGTTTTCTAATGACATTTCGAACAAGTGCTGAAGCGAACTGCCTCACTTGAGCACTTTGATTGCTGTCATTCAGTGATTTTTAAATTGAATTGTTTTGTTCTTAAAGAGCCAGAATATGTCACTGTCTTCAAAAATCTCAAAATTATGGAGAGGAAATGATACACATTTCTATACAATTATGGAGTACTCAAGAAAAAGAAATACATTTTGTTTGTCATATGCAATTAACAGATTTTTTTTTCATAGGGATAAGGGGAAAAAAACCCACAGTAGGAAAGGGGAGTGCACTTTGTACCTCTATGAGGACGTGTTCCCTCAGGGAACAGCTTGACAATAGAATTTTTCTTGGAAGAAGCTTACTTTCATCAGTTGTATTTCTCTCCTGTCCAGTCTCTCTTTTTCCTTCCACTTCCCTTTTCCTCCCTTCTGGTAAATTCTTGGAACCTGTGATACTGATGGAGGTGGCAGCCACGTCTGGAAGTGAGGTGAGGTCGTGGCATTCACGTGGCTTTCTGATCTCCCTTCCCTCTGCTGACCAATCCACTTCTCTCTCTCTCCAGGGGCTGCCTGGGGTACATAATGAAAGGAAGACTACTTGCCGCTGGCTTGTATTAGATTGAATTTTAATATACCCAGGAGAATATGTTAAATACGTATTGTGTCGCAGACAAGAAGCAAAGCATGATTGTACTAGATGTGTTTCTAAGTTCCTGCTCAGTCCCCAGCCTACTCTGCTCCTGCTGCCTGTGGGGGAGCCTCCCCACCCAGCCAACCGCCAACAGCAATCACTGGCTGGATCAGAGGTGAGGACCAGAGCCAACTGTCTAATCAGTCTCTCTCTCCCCTCTTCTTCTCTGCTCTCCTCCTCTTGCCCTCCCTCTCTACAAGTTGAGCTAAGGGGAAAACCCACCATTTGCCATGGCATTTACAGTAGAAATGTGTTCAGTGACAAAACTATGCTATAGGATTCTGAAGGGAGAGTTTCCCCCTGCCCCCCACCACAGACCCAGCAGCATCTCTATCTATACCCTGTATCTCAGGCAATCTTGGTGGCATTCTCTTATGTAAAGCACATCAGAGTGCCCTGTAAACCCTGATCCTACTGTTGCCTTCTGTGTAAGCCCAAGTCTGCCTCTTGGCCAGGCCAGCCATTGGCACCCCCTTCAACTCTCTCCCTTCCTGCCATTCTGTTTTCAGAACTCCCTCTAACCATGCAGACTTCAAGGGCTTCCATCCTTCCCTCCCAAAAGCCCCCACTCTACTGTCTCCTCACAGTCTTCCCAGAGACCAACAGAGTGAGTTCATCCATCTGACCAGGCTTCTGTTGACCCAGACCCACAGCAACACCAGAGCCGTGCCTCAGAAAGTGGGTGTTAGAGAGAGAGGTGCTGTCACTAGTGACATCATCTGGACTTAACAAAACTCACATGTGTTCGATTTATTCTGCATCTGGGGTGAAGCAGGTTTGCTGACCCCCATCCCTTAAAGTCTTCTCTGGATGCTCATTTTCTGGATACTGACTTCACTGGAACATATGTGAACTAGTTGGGTGAGGAGCCCCTGCCGCTGTCACACTCCACCCTTCTCACTCTGGTCTCTGCCTGGGAACAGTGACCTATAGGCATTTCATCAAAGGACTCCTTTGCTCTCTGCTACCTGGGAAGACTGTGAGGAAATGGTACAGTGGGGGCTTTCGGGGGTGACACTCCATTTTTAATTTTTTAATCAGAACAATTTTAGAGGAAAACAAGATGTTGCAACCTCAATATTTTGACTTCAAGTACATTTTAACCTGGTCACACACACACAAAAAAATAGACATTGTAGAAATAATCAACACAGATTTAAATCAGAAGAGCTAAAGCTATAAATGTTAAATTTAATAATGACAAAAAGCAAACTGAAGAATCTCATTGTTTTGGTAATTCTCAAAACTACAAAAATTGACCCAGTTAAAATCACATTTTGTAGAAATAACACAAAATAAAACTGACAAAGGCAAAAACTGCTCACAACCGAACTTGTTATTGACTTTTAAAATTGACTAAAAAATCAAATCATCTTGTCAAAAATTGTACCTACAAAACCTAACCCAAGAAAATTAGACTTGGTAGAAAATGACCACAAAAGATAACTCAAAATTGCTGAAGTCAAAGTTGGGAAAATTTAATACAAGTACAAAATGTGATCATTGAATTAAATCCAAATTATTTCAGTGAAGTAAAAATACTGAAAATTATGTGACTCCACAGTAAAAAGAAAATTGATCAAAGAATTAACTCAAAAGAGTTGTTTCCAGAAAATAAGTTCTTGATGATATTCTCAGAAATGTTAGAAAAATTCTGATGAAAGTGTTTGTATTCATTTAAGAAAAAAGTCCTGAGAGTCAAAACAACTGTGAGAGGAAAATATCCTCTGTGGGATTTCTCAGATAGCCCCCATCCCCCAGGCTTCCAGTTTTAATACTTTCTCATTTTTTAAAGTTTCCTTTATTTATTTTGGGGAGAGAGGAAGAGAGTGGGGAGGGGCAGAAGAAGAGGGAGAGAGAATCTCAAGCAGACTGTGCACTGAGTGTGGAGCCTGATATGGGGTTCCATCTCATGAACTTGAGATCATGACCTGAGCCAAAACCAAGAGTGGGATGCTTAACTGACCGAGCCACTCAGTCCACCCCTAATGCTTTATCATTTTGGGGGAGATCTAGGATCTTCTTCTAGGGTTCTAACAACTTCTTCTACATCTAAATACCATGGACTCAGTGAATGACCTTAGCAAGTTGCTAAGGTCAAAGTCTAATATAAGGCATGAAGTTTCACAGATACCCTTACCACTTCCAAGGGAATTCAGACTTTAAAAGCAACCTACCTGTCACCTCACACCCATTAGGATGTCTACTATCAAATAACAACGACAACCATCAACCCACCAACCAACCAGAAAATCACACGTGTTGGCGAGTGTGCAGAGAAATCGAAAGCCTTGTACACTGCAGCTACTGTGGAAGACAGTATGGCAGTTGCTTTCGAAAATTAAAAATAGAATTAGGATGGGATCCAGGAATCCCACTTCAGAGTATATATCCAAAAGAATTGAAAGCAGGGGCTCAAAGAGTTGTTGGCTCACTCATGTTCATAGCAACATTATTCACAAGAGCCAAGAAGGAGAAGCAACCCTTCTCTTTCTCATCTCCTTCATCTGTGGGATAAACAAATATATATATATGGTGTTCAATTATTCAGCCTTAAAAAGGAAAGAAGTCCCATTACTTGCTACAGCATGGATGTACCTGAAGGATGTTACACTGAGTGAAATAAGCCAGCTACAAAAGGACAAATACTGTATGATTCCACCATGTGAAGAATGGAAAGCAGGGACTAGGCGGAGCGAGAAGTAGGGACTCGTTTAATGGGTGTAGAGCTTCAGTCTTGTGAGAGGAAAAGTTCTAGAACTCTGTTGCACAGCAAAGACTAGTTAAGACTAATGAACTATAAGGGCACCTGGGTGGCTCAGTTGGTTAAGCAACTGCCTTCAGCTCAGGTCTTGATCCTGGAGTCCTGGGATCAAGTCCCGCATGGGGCTCCCTGCCCCACAGGGAGTCTGCTTCTCCTTTGACCTTCTCCCCTTTCATGCTCTCACACTCTCTCTCTCTCAAATAAATAAATAAAATCTCTAAAAAAAAAAAAGTCTAATGAACTATGCATTTAAAAATGATGAAGGTGGTAAATTTTGTGTGTTTTCACCACAATTTTTAAAAAATCAAGCTACATGAATTTGTAATAGGTAGAACTTAAACAGGGTGGACAATTTAGGAAGTTGAGGCAACAGCCTAAAGTGTCTCTCCAAGTTTCCCATGACACTCTCTTTGGGTCAGGCAAAATAAATCCAGTTTATCTGAAAGCCATAGCTTAGAGAAGAAGCTTCTCAAAAGTCTCATGCTTTGTCTCTAAAACAGGTTACAAATTTTGCCTACCACTTCATACTAGTTTATTTTTATATAGAAATGACATTGTAGGGACGCCTGGGTGGCTCATTCGGTTAAGCCACTGCCTTCGGCTCTCAGGGTCCTAGAATTGAGTCCCGCATGGGTCTCCTTGCTCGGTGGGGACTCTGCTTCTCCCTCTGCCTGCTCTGCCTGCTGTTCCCCCTGTTTGTGCGCTCTCTCGCTCTCTCTGACAAGTAAATAAAATCTTGAAAGAAAAAGAAAGAAAGAAAGAAAGAAAGAAAGAAAGAAAGAAAGAGAAAGAAGAAAGGAAGAAGAAAGAAAGAAAGAAAGAAAGAAAGAAAGAAAGAAAGAAAGAAAGAAAAGAAAGAAAGAAAGAAAGGAAGGAAGGAAGAAAACATTGTAATTACCAGTGCAAGGGAGAGTCTGTGTTTCTTTGAGGACAGTTCCATGCTGGATCATAAGCTTTTATGCATGTTAGTGCAAAAAGAAAGAAATTTAAGCCAACATGGAAAAGGAGGCTTACACTGATCTATATATGACAAAAAAGTAAAGATTGTAAAAATTGCAAACTTTTCTCCTCCCGAATCATCAGTGATAATGACACCCCAAGGAGACTCATTGTATATATCCTTAGTTTCACACTGTCTCTTGGCTCAGTACCTCACAGACCTAAAGCTACAGATACTCCAGTGGAGAAGAATATGCCAGTGTTTGAAGCCATAGCATCTGGGCAGAACCACCAGGCTTCAGGGCGTAGTGCCTCCATGAGAGAGAAAATTCCCCTTTCCCACTGCCCTCTCTCTAAGCTGACATCCCCAAAGAGAGAATTTCTGGTCACTTCCCTGGAAGGAGAATGAAAACAGTACAGTTTTGCCACTGGTCATGCTCGGTGCTGGAAGGAACACTGAACTTTCCGGAGCACCCTCCATACCTCTGTCTTTTTTGGAAAACTCCTGCATGGACCTCAACACTGTGCTTGGGCGTCACCTCCTGGTGAGGCCTCTGCTAAGTCCACCCATCCAGCCGCCACGCCTCACTTGCTCTCGGGGCCACGTCAGACCACAGGACTTAGACTCTCTGTTGCAGGATCCCAGTCCTGGCTGAGCTCAGATGCTTTGGATGTCAGAAGGACACATAAGGCAGAAAGCAGCAGAGACATCATCCAGGCAGTCCCACTGTCCAGCCACGGGGAGCCCTGAAACCCTGGGAAGGAACTAATGGTAAAAACAGACTTGCCCTGGGAGAAGGGACCTTCGGCTCCTTCTTCCTAGGACGATGCCAGACTCCGAGTTCGGCTCCTCTCTCTGGACTCCCTGCTTCTGCTTCTGACCAGTTCACCTGTCACCTCCACTTCTGTTTCTCCCTAATTTTACTCTGGTGCTGTAATTTTTTGGGTTTCTCACAGTCAAAACTGTCAATGACAGGTCATCAGTTGCGTAAGTTGTGTCCACTCTCGGGCAGAATGACAATATCAGGCCTCCCCAGAGTCCTTGGTAGGTCTGAAGATGGTTGCTTTTGGTCGAGTTGCAGGCTTCTGTCTGGGCAATTCAGTCACAGCCAAGTAACAAGGTTGCGTGGCTCACAAGGCAATTTGTGCACAATTCCATTATTGCATATATCATAATGTAATCGAATTGTTTTCCCACATACTCAGTTCCCTACAAAACTAGAAACCCAAGGCCAGTGACAGCAGTCTCCCATCTTTGCACCTTGAACCCCTAGCACATCACCTGATACATAGTAAACTCTCAGTGAAAGTCTGGTGAGGGTAAGTGAAATACAGATGAAATCAGAAAACCTGAGTTCAGGTTCTGACTTTGCCATTTCATAGCTATGTGAACTGGGGCCAATTATGTAATCTTTCCAAACCTCCCTGTCCTTTTCTGTTAAAAGATACTGTTGTGATTAAATACTAAATGAAATGTGGACATACCTCAGGACTTGGCCCACAGTTGCTCTGTGTTTATGTATATAATATATTATATGTTATATTTAAGTTAATCATATTCAAATAACACAATTTTATAATTATATTAAAATATATAATTACCTAATTATTAAGGTGTGCTAAATATATTAATATGCAATATCTAACTATACAGTAAAATTGATGCATAATATATAATCAATATATATATTTTTTTCTCTTTTTGGATCACTGCCATGTACTGTAATTATGTCTAAATATATCTTGTCTCCCAGTCAGAGGGTGAATTTGAAGGAGGGGATCTGTGTCTCAGCCTTTGCACCACCACCTCACCCCATATGTCTGCACTAAGTAAGTATTTAAAATAAATGAATGGTGTGTGTTTGGTGGGGGGCAATGGATTTGAAAATGGCATTTGCTTAAAAGCTCTAGATCTTAACAGTTTTCAAGAATTAAAAACAAGCAGGACATAGGAAGCATCGCCAATAAATTATGGTCAAACTTAAGTTTCAGTATCTCTGGGTGCCTAGCAATCTTCTAGCAGCCAAATGGAAGCAAGGCTGACCGCGTTCCAATTTTCCAGTGTGTGTCTCCACCTGCTGTATTTACTGGAAAGCAGAGGAAGCATTCCTTCTCAGTACTAAGTTTTTCAAGCACATATCCCTGGCGACCTCAGCCCCGCGTTGGGCACAGGTACCTGCACATTTCCGCAGGCACCACTAGGGGGCAGGCCTTTCCTCCAGATGCACTCCTGAGCTGGCACGCAAGTGGGGGAGGGAAGGGGCGGGAAATAAAAGAACGTGTTTCTAAATGGAAAAATACATGTGGGCAAGTCCAGATTTGTATTATGTTCCCTTAATTAGTTATGCAATCTTTCGGCTCACCTTTCCTTTTGTTTTCTATTTCCTTTTTCAGGTTCTTCTCCTTTGGGTTGTAACAAATAAACCTTTTATTCATTTATTTATTTTTAGAGGCTTGACCCACAAAAATAAATCAAGATGAGGTAACACAAGTAAACACCGCATAATTTAGTTGTTGAAGGTCAAAAACCTGAGGCTTCATTTGGGTTTGTTGTTTTTCAAATAAAGAATTTTTTTTTAAAGGAGAGTTTTGATTTCCCTAATTGTTCATATTTTGCTGGCTTGGCCGGAAGGGAAAGGGAGAAGGGGGTTGGCAGAAAGAAAACTTAAGAGAGATTCTGTGTGTGTGTGTGTGTGTGCGCGCGTGCACATGCTTGCAGATGTAAGGGGGCGGGGGTGGGGGGGAGAGGAAGGACCTGCCAAGCAGATGTTGAGGGGTTGTTTGGTCCCAGGTCACACTGGCCTGTGAACTCTACGAGGCTACTAGGAGCCAGGAGCGGTCCTGGACACCAGCTCCCCTGTAGCCTTGGAGCAGTCATTCTGCTCACACCTCAGTTGCCTTGTCTAGAATGTGAGAAATGTATACTGAAAGATCTTCTAATTGAAGTATGAGCCTGTGTTGAGGGAGAGAAAACATGGGAGGGGGGTTGGAAATGGGGGATGAATATTCATCTGTTCTGAGAGTTCTGAGAATAACCATTACAAAGAAACAATTGAACAAACCAACAAAGAAACATGGAAGCTGGAACTTTCTTCCAGCCATCCTGACTGTAGAGACACACTCCCATGGAGACTTCCCTTAGAAATATTTCCTCACGTGGCGGGAATGCTCAGCCACTGGGCTGCCTTCTGTCCCACTCTCTGGACTGTCCAGGGAAGACAGGTAAGTATCTGAGCCATCAAGCAGAGATGTAGCAGTGTCGAGGTAGGCTAGTCTTGGCTGGGCAAGAGAGGAGCAATTTCCAACCCAAAATGACTAACAAAATTCACAAGAACTGAATCATGCCTAGTTAGAGTAGTGGTTAAAAAAAATAACGTCCCCCTGGGAATGGTACTGCTACCCTTTCATGGCTGGGGTAAGCTCTGTTGCCTCAGTGAGTGCTGGCTTTTTATAATTTTAAAATGCCACTCTTTTTATTTTACCTCCACAGTTGCAATTACTCTAATCTTATAGAACTCTAGTAATCAGCTGGGCTGTGGGTTCAGAGCCATTACCACGGTCTGACTTCATAATAGCCAATTAATTACTACTTACAGAGTTTCAATTATTTTTTATCTTAATATGTCTGAGAGTTCTCTCCAGATAATCATTGAAGGAGTTTCCACCCCATTTGATTACTCCCATGAAACTATCTCAATGAGGAGCGTAAAAGATTGTTACTTTGCCTGTAACAAATATATATGAAGAATTCAAAGTACTATATACTTTAAATTTGTTACAACTGCAATTTCCAATAGCCACCACTAGGGGATGTGCTAAATTCTTAACTGGTAATTCTCAAAGTCTGGGTCACAAAATGCAGATTTCTAGGCTTGGTAGAATCAGAATCTTTGGGGTAGGAGATTGAGAAATCTGTCTTTTTATAAGTTTCTTGAGACAAGAAAAGTTGCATAGCAGTAATAAGCACTTCTTAACTGGTATAAGCTCCTGAACTCCTTCCACAAAAGAAAATCATTATTTAGAAAATTAAGTCATCCTTGATTAAAAACACAAGTGTGGGAGCTCCTGGGTAGCTCTGTCCTTTAAGCATCAAACTCTTGATTTTGGCTCAGGTCATGATCTCAGGGCTGTGAAATCGAGTCCCAGGAAGCACTCTACACTTCTGCATGGCACCTGCTTGTCCCTCTCCCTGTCTGCTCCTTCCCCCTCTGCTCCTTCCTCCTCTCCTCCCTCCCATTCTGTTCCTCTCTCTCTCAAATACATAAATAAATCTTAGAAGCAAACAAACAAAAACAAAAAACCCCACAAGTGCAAGTATCCCTATAAGGTGTATCCATGTCAACCACTTGGCTAGAACTCTCAAACACTGAGCTGCCCTCTGTCCACCCCTCCAGGCTACCAGCATCCCTTAGCAACATCATTGCAATAGTTTTCTAACCAGTTTCCGTCCTTCATTGCCCCTGGAATCAACTCTCCACAGAGCAGCTAGAGTGATCTTTTAAAAAATAAATTCATCTCACTCATCTGCCCAGAGCCTCCTAATTTACTCCCTATCACTGTCAGAATAAAATACAAACTTCTTATGGTAGCCTACAAGACCCTGTATGAACAGGCGCCCGACCAGCCCTTCTGGTGGCTCTCCCACATGCACCCTGGGCCCTCCCCGCTTGCTGTTCTTCAAATAAACCTTTGGATCTATGAGCTTGCTCTTTTCTGCTGCTCTCGCCTCAGATCTTCATGGCTGGCTCCTTCCTCCTTTCTTTTACATGTCTGCTCAGATGTCACCTCCCTAGACACTTTTTTTCACCACCTGTCATCAGTCTTACCCATGGTGGCTGAGATCCCGAGAGAGACTGGGCTGACAGAAGGAGACGGACCAGGAGAGGCCCTTTTGCAGTCACAAGGCTGGAGCACAGTACATGTTTGTTGAATGATGTAATGGAAAGCTTTAAGCTAAATCTCCATGCAAAGTGAGAAAATACGAGAATATTAAATCTAGTTGCAAATTGGGACCCTCTCTTCCATTATTTTAATGATTCAATGGCTTTTTGTTTGTTTATTTGTTTTAAAGATTTTATTTATTTATCTGTCAGAGAGATAGAGTATAGGCAGGCAGAGTGGCAGGCAGAGGCAGAGAGAGAAGCAGGCTCCCCACAGAGCAAGGAGCCCAATATGGGACTCGATCCCAGGACACTGGGATCATGACCTGAGCCGAAGGCAGCCACTTAACCAACTGGGCCACCCAGGCATCCCAATTCAATGGCTTTTTAATGAAGCTTTCTGTATGCCTCAACTTTAACACAACCTTCCCTTGTCTTCTTTCTTAAGAGTTGTTTTCAGTAGGGGTTTGGGGAGAGACACATCCTTCTGAAAAGGCACTTCAGGGGCACCTGGGAGGCTCAGTTGGTTAATTGACTGCTTTTGGCTCAGGTCATGATCCTGGAGTCCTGGGATTGAGTCCCACATCAGGCTCCCAGCTCCGTGGGGAATCTGCTTCTCCCTCTGACCTTCTCTCCTCTCATGCTCTCTCTCTCACTTTCTCTCTCTCTCAAATAAATGAATTAAATTTAAAAAAAATAAGGCTCTTCAGAATTTTCAAGGACCAAAGGATCTATGAAGTTTAAACTGCATGTTTAATATATTTCAAGTTAATATTTTAATTATTGAATTAATATCTTTACTATTTATTTAACTCAAACCAAAAAAAGGTTATTTATTGGCTCACATAACTGAAAAGTTCAGGGAGATAGACTAGCTTCAGGCAGGGTTGGATCCAGGGATACAAACATTGTCATCAGGACTCACGTCTCTCCATCATTTGGTTCTGCTTTCCTCTGCACTGGATATCTTGACTATTACTATAAACTAAAGAAATCAGTCTCAACAAAATGTGGCTCTAACCCTCTTCCCTGTAGTTGAAGATATTTGCTGTTGAGTCCTCTAGGTCTTCTTTCCACCACTGTCCAGCCTGCCTGGTAGCCAGGACACCGACCTTCATGGGTTGCATCATATGAGTTCCATGGGTCTGTGTCTTATTTGGGAATTTGGCCAATGGGAGTCATCAGCAGAAGATAAGAGACTGTGAGAAAAGAGGGTGGTTTATTCATTGCCCACCTTTCTCCCTGTGGCTCTGCTTTCCTCTACCAAAGGACCCAAAGGGTGAGGCAGTCTTCTGCTAAACTGTAGCTCCCTCTGGGTTCCCATGGCTGCCCCCATCCCTTGCCTCTTTAGGCCTGGGGATGCTGATGGGCACATGAAGTCGCTAGCTCCAACATGTTTCCCTTCACCATGCCCACACCTTAGTAGAGTCCCCGCATTCATCGTTCTCTGGTCGCTCCATCTGCATGAGCTATCTGTCCCCCACCAGACTCAGACTAGCATGGCTTATGAGGGTTCTGTTGTCACCATTGTCTCTTTCTGGTGATAAACATGCCTAAGTTGCCTCAGTGATGGCATTCCAGTCTTTTCCTCTCATTGTCTCGTTCCCCTGATTCTCTGAGCTGTCCTTATCAACAGCTTCTCTAATGCCACCTGCCCCTCTGTCAAAGCCAAAACCCCCAAGAAACACTTAGTATTCGGTAGCTCTGTCCAGAAAGGGTCTCTGCCTTCATTTTCTTTCAGGATAGTGTATTTTAAGAATAGAGAGCTTTAAAAAAGACTCAGCTACAAAAGATTCTTTAAAAATGACTCTCCCACAACACCTGTCACCCTGTTTATTCTCAACACCCCTTAAGCGACACTGCTTTAAGCAAGACGGGTTGTGTGAGCCTTTAACCAACAAATATCAGCAACTGGGAAGCCCATAAATAGCAGCAGAGAGGACAAACAGGATGACTCAGTAAGCCTTCTGAGTCAGGCCGGCAGGGGCTGGCCTTCCCTCTTAATTATGGGGCGCTGGACCCATTGTCTCTGAAGTCACCTCAGAGTCTCGCCGAACAAATATCAGACA